ACATTTGTCTGAAATAAAAAACAATAATTAAAAATTCTCAATGGACATAAAAATGAACAATAATTATCCATCATCTTATATGTTTGTTTTACAAGGTGAGATTATCATGAAATCTCGTGCCAATAAAAGAGATTGTGTCATTTCAGAAGCCCAAGGGGCCCGCAAATGGGAGGCTGGCATGTGTAATACCATGGCATATGTAGTATTACATATCCAGTATTTTTAAGGAATATAATATACTTTGAATATCATCTCTAATAATCAATCAAAAGATATATATATATATATATATATATAAAAGAAATCTACAGATTTTTCTTTGTCTCCAGCTGACTCTGATCTGAATTTTTTGCTGCCCAAAACAATCTTTTAATATGAGGCCTTTTATACATATAAAATAAATAAAAGACGGCCCAAAGCGGACTAATATGAACTTATTTTTGAATATATATATATATATATATTTAACGGAATTAGACATGCTGGTAATTTAAATTTTATTTAAAAATTTTGAACTTCTATAATTATTGAGTATGAAATTTATATTATTAGCCACATAGATAGGCCAACTGTTGTGAGTTTGTGAGGTGGTTTTATAAGAAATGTGACTTCTCGAATGTTGGAATTATGTGGATTCAAAATCACATTCACATTTCCATTCTCGTTTAAGATTTCTATCATTTAAACATAGCATATACGGTTTAGGATCAAAGTAATCCAAGTTGGAGTACCAACAAAAAAATAAACAAACTATAAAAATGTGTCACTCAAACATCACTATTTCGTAATTTTAACTACAAAATTACTAATCAAAGCTAACTTTATTTAACTTGTCAACCAAATTCATTAGGTCTTCTCATGATTGAATGTAAAATTTAATTAATTTAAACTTTGAAAAACTTCTTTTCTCAGAAGTAATTGGAACAAATAACTAAAGGTGGCAAGAGCCCCCCTACAATTTCAAAACACCATTAATAACAGTAGTATTAACTACAATTATTTACATATTATAAAGACTCACCCGTATAAATTTTTCTTTTTATAGAAATTTTAAGTGACTATCACTCTATATCTATGTAACATTATGATCAAAATATAACTGTAAAAAATGGACAAAACATAATAAAAGAAATTAATTTCGTATAACTAGTGTTAATTACAAGCCTTAGTTTCTAAAGAATTGAATAAGAACATTCACATTCCCATTCTTGTTTAAGATTTCTATCATTTAAACATAGCATATAAGGTTTAGGATCAAAATAATCCAAGTTGGAGTACCAACTAAAAAATAAACAAACTATAAAAACGTGACACTCAAACATCACTATTTCGTAATTTTAACTACAAAATTACTAATCAAAGCTAGCTTTATTTAACTTGTCAACCAAATTCATTAGATCTTCTCGTGATTGAATGTAAAATTTAATTAATTTAAACTTTGAAAAACTTCTTTTCTCAGAAGTAATTGGAACAAATAACTATAGGTGGCAATAGCCCCCCTACAATTTCAAAACACCATTAATAACAGTAGTATTAACTACAATTATTTACATATTATAAAGACTCACCCGTATAAATTTTTCTTTTTATAGAAATTTTAAGTGACTATCACTCTATATCTATGTAACATTATGATCAAAATATAACTGTAAAAAATGGACAAAACATAATAAAAGAAATTAATTTCGTATAACTAGTGTTAATTACAAGCCTTAGTTTCTAAAGAATTGAATAAGAAATCAACTAGTTATTTGATTATGTTTATTGAGAAAGACATTTTACAAAATTTTAATGTCAATTCCATCATAGACATTTTTAATGACATGAAAGAATATCGAGCACAATAACTCAAGATACCTGACTTCAATATATAAATTATTTTATAGTTGCTATCTTTTGTAACTAACATCGATACGAAAAACATGCTATTTAGTTTCGTGTTATTTTTACTTTATATACGAGTAGAAATTCATATTATAATTCATACTTTATTTTTAAAAATTTTGATAGTATGTATATGGTCACCCTCTATATAAAAATTATGAGTTCGTCTCTGAGTGAATAGTATTTCTATACACATTCCATTACCATACATTTGGAAAATAACAATCTATTAATTTTAAATAATTCACCACATCAATTAAAATTTTTTTTCTTGTTAAGGGGCTTTTTGTTTATATTTTATAAACAAATATAATAATAAATATATATATTTTTTGATTCTCTTTTCTATTAGTTTCAGAAAATTCATTACATCAACCAATATTTTGTTTTCTTGTTACGGCTTTTTTTATTTTATTTTATTTATTTATTTGTGAACAAGTATAGTAATAAATAATTTTTGATTCTTTTTTTTTTAAATTAATTTTTGAAGACTTAAAATGGCCACATGATCAACTTTTATTATCCCAAATAGGTACCGATATCTGGTCAAAAATTTATTTATTTCAAAAAGAGTAGTGAGAATATAAAGATAAAGTTCTGAACATGGATGGTCCAATTATATCTCTGAAAAATGAAGCAGATAGGAGAACTTGAGATTGGAAGAGGGTACATATTCTTTCATGTGATGATGTTCAAGAAAAGAAAAATATAAGGGTTAATTATTGGGTAGGTTCTGGATTCCAGATTAAGTTGACTTTATTAAACAATTGAACTCTGTGTTACTTGCGTTTAAAGACTTCTTAGCATTGAGCTGCAAATTATTGGTTCAGATGTGAGAGATATCTTATTTTTATATTGTGGTTGAACTTTTAGATTTATAAAGAATAAAACAAAATAAAAAATTTACTTCATTTTGATTTTTTTATTTTTCCTACCAAATTACTTTCTTATTTTTGTGTTGTATGAGATCATTCAGATTTAATGATCAAAACTAATCATTCCATATCCTGCTAATTAGGAGTAATTCATTAACATGCAGGCCATTAAATGATAAATCTGTCTCATTTGGGTAAGTTACACTCAACTCAGTTTGAAAAAAATATAATTAGCTCATATTTTTGATATAATTATACTGATCACCTTAAAGCAACTAAAACAAATACATCATAATCAGTTGTCACTGAAATAAATAAAAGTAAATATATATTAAAATCTAATGAAAAATGACCAAATTATTATTGGAATTAAATTCTTAAATGACACAATATAAATATGTAAAAAATGTAGAATTAGCTATACTGCTTTTTTTTAAAAAAAAAAAATAAATAAATTCAAGGGTGGGGAGTGTAATTTACCCTTATATTTTCTTCTCGACTTTGTTCAGTGTAAGAATACTCAACAAATACTATGCTTGTTTCGGTAATGCTATAATACACACTCCTCAAAAAAGGGTCTACCATATGCAAAGAATAGGACTAGAAATCCACATGTTTGACTCACAAATTTACCCACAATGATGTAGTAAGGAAATTGGGCTCTCAATAATTAGATGTATAACAAATCAAAAGTTGACACGACATATCATAATAGGTAAAATTGTGAAAGTTTTTTTTGAGAATTACAAACATTTTTCATGTAGAAATTATGACACTTTGGTATTTATATTACAAAGTACCATATCCAAATTATTTTTTGTTTTTAACGTAATGGATCGTAACAAACATGTTTGATGTGAACTAAAATAAAATATTTTTATATATCTGGTCTTAATCATGGTCTGTCATTAACTAAAATTTTTCTTTATTAAAATTTAATGATTGAGAATGACTTTTCCAAATATGTAACTCAAATATATATATATATATATTTTTTATCCTATAGAAAAATCCCATATACTACCAAATATATATAAGGAACAGTTTTGACTTTATTTCCAATAAGGAACAGTTTTGACTTTATTTCCAATAATTCAAATAATTTAGTATTTTTTAAGATTTGTTAATCAAATATCAATATTCTTATAATTGAATAATATTTATTTCAAAAAAATGAAATAAAAAATTTATTTTTAAAATTATATTTATCGTTTAATTTTATAAGACAAATATAATTTAAACATATAATTATCAATATCCGGTTAACTTAATTTTTCAAGTAAATTATCTTTTTAATGAGTATTACAAAATGAACAGTACTAAACCCAACAGATCCTCTAGTTGGTGATCACTAGAAGTCACTCCAACCTAAATAAGTTATTTATAATTTATTTTAATTTGAAAATTTGTACTTATAATTTTTTTCAAATAACATATTATACTAAAAAAAAAAAAATTTGTTCATTTAAAAAAAGAAATATTTTTTAATTATAATAAGGTGCAGTGAACAAAACGGTTGACACAGTTGATGGGGTTGACTTGGTGAGCGGAGGGGTGTTTGGGTAAATTTACGTTTCGGGCAGTGAAGAGCACGTCAGAATGGGGGAGTCCCCACACGTTTGTCGTTTTAGCAAAATGACCAGATGTTGTTACAAGATAACATCTATATGTGTGCCTGCCTGTAAGAAGAAGGTCAAGTCCACACCTTCTTTTCTTTCTCTGTCTCTGAGTTTTCTTATGTCTTTGTTCATTCCCTTCCCTCTCCCCTCAATCAACTGTTTTGAAAAAGTCTTTTACCACTTTTCTTCTTTTTAATTAGAGGAAATATCATTTTATCTTAAAATTTTTGTGTTTTTTTAATTTGATTTTTAAATTTCAATTAATATCAACTTTATACTTAAATTTTTAAAAATTTGATTAATTTAGCTTCCGTTGTCGCATTTTGTTTATAATTGAACGGAATGTGCTCACTTGATATCAAAATTTATTTAAAAATTTATTTTATTTTTCAAATTATACCTTAAATTTTTTTTCCCCCAAATTAAAATTCAATTTGCCTTTTATGTCAGCACATTTCTTCAAATTGTAAACGAAATGTGACGATAATAGCTAAATTGATCAAAATTTAAAAAAATTAAATGTAAAATTAATATTAATCAAAGTGATCAAATTAAAAAATAAATGAAAATTTAGGAGGCATATTTTCCCTTTTAATTATTCCCCATTATTTCCCCTATTCTACTTTCACTACAAAACACCCTCCAAGGAAGCAAAACCCAGTTACTCTTTGTTTCATTCATTTTCAGTTTTTGTTTTGCTCAAGCAGTCTCTCTCTCTCTCTCTCTCTCTCTCTCTCATCTTTGGAGGTTGGAGCACCCAGATGGGGAACTGCTTAGATTCTTCTGCTAAAGTTGATGCTTCTCAGAGCTCCCTTATCAATGGTACTTACTACATAACTACTCAATCATTTACATTGTGCTTTATTTATAATTACTTGTCCATAAATGGAAAAAGAAAAGAAAAAAAGAAGCTTTTTTGGAGTTCATACAATCATATCTTTATATATCACTTTTTTCTTCTTAAGGGTCTTGATGGGTTGTTTTTGGGTCGGTTTTTCAGTTACTTGAACTAGATCAATTCTGGGTATTTTCGGTTTTTATGTTTTCTGATGTCCGGAATCGATTTTTAAGGTTAATTTGACCCTTGGCTCTGAAGCAAATTCTGCTGGATGTTTTGTGAATATGTTTTAGTCTTGTGAAGTTTGTCATTGTTTTTTTTTTTTTTTTTTTAATTGCAAGTCGTCTTTTGATAGTGATTTACACATCTCTGTTCTTGCACAAGGTCTAGGGTTTAGATTTGATGCCCATACCTGTTCCGTGATTCCTTGTTTCAGAGTTATGGGATTAGGTTGCCGGTAGATTTTAATAATTTTGTATTAATTTCCATTCAGGAGTGGGTCTTTATGAAATTGGCTCGAAAGTCCAATAAGGGTTCATTTGTATTCATTCTGAAGATGTCTTCTTTTGCACTTTTATTTATATTTATTATTCTAAGCACTTCATGGACACCTGACATAGTCATGTTAAGGCCGTTACTCGAAGAACTCTAAATTAAGTTCCCATTATTGAATCATGTTTGAAAATTTGGAAACCCCCTCTCGTTTGTGTCTTAACATAAAGGCTATTGTTTCATAAAGGCTATCATCATTGTACGGAAGAAATGATTTTGTATATTAATAGTGTAAAAAAACTTGCGTCCATAAAAAAGAGAAGCATTTATAATATATGAACCGCCCTAACCTAGCTTAACCATTCTCCTTGCAGTTGGCCTTTTTATAGATGGCTAAATGAAGATCCTTCGGATCCAATCATATTGGATAAGTATTTCGAGATGTTATAAGTTATAACATTGAAAATTTTCGGTGCATCCCGACTATACAAATTCGCCCACAGCTAAATGATGCTTCTTAATTACAAAGGAAATTCTTTCTTAATCTAGAAAGGTCCTTTTTGTTAAGCGCATCAAGCCAAGACCAATAAAACAGCAGTAACCACCAATACAATCTCATTCAACAAGGAAAAAACATAATACGTGTTCATGTATGTAGCTATTGGTCATCAAGCATTTTCTATGGCTCAAGTAGTGACTACTTTCTAGCAAAGGGGAGCAATGAATATCAAATAATGCATTAACTGTAGTGTGGATGCTACGAGGATCAGAGGTAGCGGGGTCAACATTTCAAGTATTATGCTTGAATTGGAAAAAATTGTCATGTGAACCAGAGCAAGTGGCACTGAAAGTGAATGAGGATTCAGAACTTTGAACTTGAACCCTGCCGTTTTATTTGTGCTCCCTTCTGGAGAACAACATGAGTGTAAGCTTAGGAGAGCGGTTTTTATTTTGAGAGATAGGGTGTCTATTTGAGCACAGATTAGTGCGCGGTTGTGTCCCTACTTTTGTTGTTCTGCAATACACACAATTTTTTTATTTTTTAATTATATCTTTTCTTTCTTGGGCTACTTTAGGGACCTCAAAAATTAGCAGCAAAACCAGCAATTCTTCAGCTCGTTCCACCCTGACAGTACCATCTTGCAATGAAAACAGCACTGAAAGTCTTCCTACTCCGCGATCTGAAGGTGAAATATTGTCGTCCCCAAATGTGAAATCGTTCTTATTTAATGAGTTAAAGAATGCCACTAGAAACTTCCGTCCAGACAGTCTTCTTGGTGAAGGAGGCTTTGGTTATGTTTTTAAAGGATGGATCGATGAACATACACTTGCTGCAGCAAAGCCTGGATCTGGTATGGTTGTTGCTGTCAAGAAGCTTAAACCTGAGGGTTTTCAAGGCCACAAGGAGTGGTTGGTATGTTCTTCTTCATTAATAACTAAACATATTTGTGAATTTTGCTTGGCCTATTTACTTGCTCTTATTATTGTAGTTGTTGGAATCTTTTGATTCACGATTCAATTCATACAATTCGATATGAGTTTTAGGCAAAACGATTCTATTTGTGCATTTGAATATTGAATTAGGTGAATCTTATGATTAAATTGCAATTTACTACGATTCGCTGCGATTCAAGAGATTCAATTCTATTTGCATAATGCATGAAACGGTGTTGTTTAAAAAAAGAAAAGAAAAAAGAAGATCAACTAATTGTGTTGATATATGTGATTCTATTTGTACATACAAATATACAAGATGGTTATATTGATTTTTATTTCATTTTAAATACTATAT